ATATACTGTATATATGCATAATATACTACATAATAAGAAAGTGTTATAGTTATATAGCTGTGTTATATTATACGCGTTATGGTATGCTGCACATGAATAATGTGTTGCTTATATTGTGCTATTGTGCTATATTCATAATATGGTCAATGTTGTATATAATATTGCACATCTCTGATATGATGCTTCTACATCACAGAGGTAATGAGTAATATTGTGCACGTCATGCTATCTTACATAATATGGACAAAAAAAGTCTTTCCCCAGAGAAATTATCATATAATTTCTCGTCAGCTTTGCGTTATCAACGAAACACATTTAGTTGCTAATTATAGATTTGTTCATTAACTGGCAAAATAAAAGAAAAGGTGCAAACATATGACTCATACCTCATTATTTAGTTGAAAAAACTGCCAAATAAATAATTACATGCAAGGCAAGTGGCAATAGAAATGCTTTATTGGAATTATCTTAATTGCCACTGATATCATTGTAATAATATCTGTGATGATAATTTTTTTTATAGCAATGACACTTCTATAATAATTGATATGTATCATTTAGATAGCAGTAACAATTATGATATACTGGTATCTGTAATCTTGGTAAAATGATAATGAAAAGGATAGTCACGACAAAATACTATTACTGTTATTATCAATATTGCTATATCTTATTATTATTATTATTATCATCATTATTATCATGGTCAGTATTATTATCATCATCTTCATTATTATTATCACTAGTATTACTATCATTAATATTATTATCCTTATTATTACTACTATTATCAATGGTGATATTATTGTTAGTGCTATTATTGTCATAATAATCATCATTATTGTTATCATCATTATCATTCTCATTGCTATTATTATTATTGATATTGTTAATATCATTGTTATTATTATTATTTTTATCGTCATCATTATTGTTGTTATTACTATTATTATTATTATCATTATCATTATTACCATCATCATTATCATCATCATTACCATTATTATTGTTTTACTATCACTATTACTATAATTACTTCTATCATCATTATAATCAATATTATCACTATTATCATTTATTTCATCCTTATCGTTATTACCATTATTATTATCATTATCCTTTCATCATCGTCATTGCTGTCAGTGTTATCATTGTTATCATTATTAACATCATTATCATTGTTACTGTTTTTGTTATCATTAATATTGTTATGGATAATGATAATGATAATGACAGTGATGATAACAATACAATGATAGTAACAATACCGATAATGATGTTAAAAGTAATAATGATATTATCATCATTATTATCATTATTATTATTATTATCATTAGTATCATTATTATAATTGTCATCATCGTTATCATTATCATTATTATTGATATCATCATTATGATTATCATTATGTTATTGATATTATTGTTATCATCAGTAGTACATCATTACTATTAATGTTATATATTTTTGTTCTTGTTGTTGCTGTTTCTATCAGTATTATTATCATTATCATCACTATCATTATCATCACAATGATTATCATTATTATTACCACTAGTAGTAGTAGTTGTACTGCTACTACTATACAACAACAACTACTACTACTACTACCATAATTATTTTCTTCATCATCATTATCATTTTCATCATCATTACTAATGTTATAATAATGATAATACTAATAATTATCATTATCATTGTCATCCTTATTATCATCATGATTATGATAATGTAAAATTTACAATAACAGGAAGAGAGATAGAGAGAGAGAGAGAGAGAGAGAGGAGAGAGGAGAGAGGGGAGTGAGAGATAGATAGATAGATAGATAGAGAGAGAGGGGGGGGGGAGGGATAGAGAGAGAGAGAGAGAGAGAGAGAGAGAGAGAGAGAGGAGAGAGAGAGAGAGAGAGAGAGAGGGGGGGGGAAGAGGAGAAGAGAGGGGGGGAAGAAATACAGAAAAGAGAGAGAAACGAGAGAGGGGGGGGGGGCAGAGAAATACACAGAATGAGAGAAAAGGAGAGAGAAAGAGGGAGGAGAGGAATAGAGAAAGAAAAGCAGAGAGAAAGAGAAAGAGAAAGACAGAAAGGAAGAAAGAGAAACGCTCCCCCGGCGCTGTGTCGTTTATTTTGCAAATTGGCGACATAAACTTCCGTCTCCACATCTTATCAACTGTCATGCAGACTTTCAGGCACATAAATTTCCTCCCGGATCCTGTCGTCTTCGAGGCCGATGTTGCAGAAGGAAGCTCGCAGTCTTCACTCCCTTGCAAGAAAAGTCCCGACCTCGATCTCCCCGAAGAAAGGTACACCGCCCGTTATCGGCTCCGGCCAGTGAAGGCAACGAGGCCAGATGTTGCTCTGTTGCAAGGAGACTTCGCCTTACGACTTCCGATGCTTTCGCGGATCGAAAAGCGATTATCCGGAATCGGTCTCATCTCCCGGGCTGTAGGAACTCGCTCAGCATCCCGTGTCGAGATAATTTTCCTCCGGGTGTTAACGGGAGCAGCGTCCGCAAGCTGGGGAGATGCGGTTGGGGATGGGGTGGGGTGGGGGGGGGGGGATTGGGTGTGGGTAGGGGGTGGGGTGGGGAGGGGGAGGGAGAGGGAGGCTCGTTAGCGAAGACCTCAGAGCCGTAGAGAGCGTAGGGGGTGGGAGGCGGGGTGGGGGTGGGGTGGGTGGGCAGTCCGGATGCTCGACCAGAGAGATGAGCTTCTCTCGCAATCCGTGATGGGCGGTCGGCGCATGACAGGATGGGGATGCAAAT